AGAGAGAGAGAGAGAGAGAGAGAGAGAGAGTTCACGAGAAAGAAGAGAGTGAGGTGGCCTGCAATACTGCTTCAGCAGATCTCGTGATGGCTTCTGCTGCTGCTGCTGATGATGATGATGATGTCGTCCTAGACAACAAAACCTTACAGCCAGAGTCACACGCACACATAGATCGACGAGACAAAGGCTAAAAAGGATAGAAGACAGGTCCTCAAGAGTGAGAGATTCCTGTTTTCCTTTCCCTGCTCTCTCTCTCTCTCTCTTCATGTGCATGTCTCTGTATCTGTGGCAAGTACATCTCAGAAATGTTTCGCCACGAGGTGCTCATCCGACAAAGGCTAAAATGTTCAGAAGACAAGTCCTCAAGATTGTAAGAGATTCCTGCATTATTTTCCCTACTCTCTTCTCTCTCTCTCTCTCTCTCTCTCGCTCTCTCTATCTATCTACATGTCGCATGCCCGTGTGTTGTGGCAAGTGCGTCTCTGATAAGCTTGACAACGAGGCGCTGTTGTTCCATCAACGAGCCGTTGACATAAACGAAGACAAAAGACACTCTGAAGGAGATAGCTGCTGCTTTTCGCCTTGGCAGTAACACACTCTTGCGTGCAGAAGAACATCACAAAATTTGCACACTTCACGCTACTATAATGCAGCAGGATAACCTCATGTCATTTTCTTCTCCGAGCGAGTCCTTACACTTACTGCATAGATTCCTGCGAGGTTAATAAGATTGGGTGTCTGGTGACAAAGATTATGAGCAGATCAATTACCAATAATCTAATCAATAATAAACTCTAACGATACCTCCTCTCGCATGCAAGTCGGAAGAACACTACGATAAATGTTTTTATGATCGATTATTTGTAGCATCAGGAAGTAAAACACGAAATCACTAATCGAATGCTGGAGAACCTCATATGATCAGAAAGCCATTTAGATAAGACGCTGCCAAACCTTCGTATAATTTATCGCATGATTGTCCTTGAGGCCAAGTGATCTATTCATATATTCTTAGGAATCTTATGATCGTCCTACAATATTCTCGACTCCTAGCAATCGCCGCCGCCTTAGTTTGAATGTTGGAAGAACATTCTTGAGGTGGCATGTGGAAATCGACCCAAATTTCAAGCTGAAATTTCTCGTTTGCTCAGTCCAAAAACATCGATCTTACTTCCTACTGATTAAAATGTTGGGAAAGAAAAGAGATCGATGTGGTAATTTAGTCCTACTACGATCCAAAGAGTCGAACTATTCTGTGAGGCCGGCACTCATTTTAGATCTGTCACGGGTCAATTCCTGACAAAGGCTATAGGATTCGCCTACCAAATCATTGAAAGTGAAATCTTTACATGTAATCTCGATGATCACGCTTTAGACATCTGTCTTCTTAGTTTAAGCCACTTGCGAAGTCAAGATCATGAAGCAAAACATCATAAGATGGTGCATTCGACAAATGCCATGATATATATAATTCCATTGTTGAAGCTTAATCTCAAGCATGGTATGGAACTTGGATGAGCAAGATAATGTATAGTCCTTCAAAGGATGGATACGACTAAACATTCGTCTAAGAAGCTAAGGGAAATATTGGAATTATCACCCTAAATTCTTTCTTTATTTAGGAGAAGAACAACATACTGTAATATTTTGTCTTTTAGAAGTAGATGCATTGTTTCGAAGAACACTGAAATTGACTTTTAAAGAAGGAAGAATGATGATGACCACCAAAACATGCCTTTCAAACAAATGTTCCATTATTCGGCTAGAAATTATTGTGACAGTCATTTAAGAACATTCAGAGGATCAAACTAGAGTGCTACAGCAATCAAGTTTATGACAGTGAGCCCTACAATGCAAAGTTTCCTCCCTTTAGGGCAAAGACAAGCGGAGATGACTACATAGTGTGCCGCTGCTTCATCTTTGGTTAAGGATATCCCTGTGGGAAGAAAGCCCTTAAGCCTAAGAAATCTCTTGTCATCCCATCATTCCCACCACCACCACCTCCGACGTCAGTCCTCGCTTGGCTTCTAACAGCACCATCCATGAAGTCGTTCCCTTCTCTTTTTGATCCCAGCATTCCTCCAAACGCATCCGCAAAGGACCCATCAAACCCTGGAGTCGAAGGGCGAGGGTTCATCATCATGTCTTGAAGGAGAGGAGAAGCTGCTGACGCTTGTTCAAAACTTCCTCCTCCTCCTCCTCCTCCACCACCAGCACCACTCGTGTCTTGCTGCGAGGATAAGCCAAGGCCAAAGCCAGAAGCAGGAAGAGCCCTGAAAGAGGAATGGGTAGTGTGAGTTGCCATCTGACCGATGCGTGGAGGTCTACTTGCGGTTGCACCCATCTGAGCTGCCTTCTGGAGCAATGCAGTGGCTGACATGTGGGGAGAGGAAGCTGGGACTTGGTAGGTAGGAGGAAGAGGAGGTGGAGGAGGGGCGTCCGCCGGGTTATCATGAGAGTACTCCTGCTCTAGCCTAGAGGAGTAGACAGAGGACGAGTGGGCTAAGTGGTCGAGGGAAGTGGCTGCCTGAAACCACGGCGAGGTCTCCGACCTAACGTCGAAATGCTGCTGCTGCTGCTGCTCTCTTTTCAGCTCATGGCTGACCTCTGTGGCGCGCATCAAGTGAGGAAACTGGGTCTGTAGCATCACAGTCTGCTGGAGAGGGAAGGTGTCAAGGGACGTTGAGGGATGGGAGAACTGGAGCGGGTGATGACTAGCCATAGGGTTTGCCGGGATGCCCCTTGAACTCTCTTCTGCCAGTGCATCACAGAAGGCTCGGTGAGTGATAAAGCTGTCCCTCCTGCAATCAGCAGCAGTACCACGTAGCAACAAGCGAAAGCAAACAAGAAAACGCAAGAGAACAAGCTTCAACAAAGCCACACATCATTCACGAAAAGCAGAAGAACTAAGCTCCAAAAAGAAACAAGGGCTAAGCAAGCCGAAAGCTATGAAACACTAAAGCTGAGTAGACGTCGAGATGCCTTCGGTCTTGGGCCATCAAACTTCATCTCACCTTTCCTCTCGACATGTCCGGGAACCAGCAGTTACTTGGAAGCTCACCATAGATCTTGACTCCAAAGAACATTCCTCATTCGTGTAGTGTGATTAGGGCAAGGGTTCAGTGACGGTGATACCTGGAGAAGAGGGTGCCGCAGTCGCATCTGTATTCCCTGGTGCCACAGATCTTGGAGTGAGCTTTCCAATCGGACTGAACGGCGTATTTCTTGGAGCACCTCTCACACTTCCACTTCTTCTCGCCATGCTTCCTGCTGAAGTGCTTCTTGATCCCGGTGAGGTCGCCGAGCGCCCTGGAAGGGTCGTGGTGGACGCATGTCACCTCCGGGCAGATGTAGACCTTCTTCCTCACCTCCTTGGGTCTCTGCTTCAGCTTCCACGGGAGATTGTGGCCCCTCCTGTGGAGCTGCAGGTTCTGATCCCGCTGGAACCCTTTGTTGCAGATCTCACACACGAACCTGTTGGTCGCCATCAGTGTCTTGGGGGACAGCGCTATCACCTCAGCATCTGGGTCTAAAGATTTCAGATTAGATATAAGTTCAGGAAGAGCAGGATGCTCAATAATCTTTTCCCTGTGCACAAAGCAGTAAACGAAAGGAAATATATTCCGAGACCTGGATTTCCTGGGAGGCTCCTCTTCTTCTTGACTGGGTTTGGATTTGCGGAGGCCAAGGAGACTAACTGGTTGGAAGAGACACTGGCCTCCCCGGAGGGAGAGGTGAGGTTGGACATGTTCTCCTCCGCCAGTTGTTGGTGTTGCTGAATCATGAACCCCTTCATCACCTAAGCTTACCTTCGAGGAACTCTTATTCTCGGTTTAGTTTCGGATGGATGGGACAGAAATCAGAAAGGCTTGGCAAAAACTGACAGAAAAAGAAATATAAATAAAAAGGACAAAAAGGGATGATGAGTGGCTTGCATCAACCAGTTTGGAGGAAGCGATAAAAAGGAGCTCGAGTACTCGAAGCAAGCAGATAGATCTATGCTCCTCTCATCCGATGAACTTCCACAGAACTCGACATGAAATATAAAATGGCCTTTTTGTTTTAGGATTCTCCAAATTGCCAGTTTCTACTAAATCTTTGCAGTAGAACACACCAACTGAAAGGAAGCAGTAAGGACTATATCGTTCCGAATGAAACACCAAACAGAAACATGAAAAGTCGAAGCCTTTTCGTCAACAGATATATAGAAGAACTACACCAATACCTCCTCCATGAACACATCAAATAGGAGGCGGAAAAGAACAAACAGATTGAGATGCCTGTAAATTTTGGTACGAGGTGCTACGAGTGTCAAATTCTTTCAGGAAAAATCCATCAAATCCAGTATCCAAAGTACTCGAATTCTAACTCGGAAACCGGCAAAAGGAAGAGCTCATTATTGCCAGAATCTAAGACATAAAATATAAGGAGGAGAAACCAAAGCCGAGGGAGGGAGGAAGAAGAAGAACAGGAGAGAGAAAGAGAGAGAGAGAGAGAGAGAGAGAGAGAGGATCTAAATGGATGAGGGAAGCAAGAAAATGTGGAATCCTCCATTCATTGAATACCCTAACCCTACAGCCTACCCTGACGTAGCACTTTCTGTCCTTTCCTTTGTTCCCAACGCATATCTAGAAATTCCTTTACTCGCCGTAAAACACCTCAGCTTTTACCATCTTACACCGGCCAACATCACTGTAATCATGGTACAAATCGGAAGAACAGTACCCTGGTACAGTGGAGAGTTCGAGTGGCTACCGACTCCATTTAATTGCATGCAATCATGCAGTGTTTGTACACAGGGACCGAACTCCAGATATATTGACCTTCGCAAACCCTAGGATTCCGATGGCCTAACTTCCTCTGCAGCTTGCCTTTGCATGCTGTGGTACCAGCTTTTAGGTGTATGTTTGATGCTGTACTAGCTATTAGGTGTCTGTGTCTATTTAGATCGATGCAAATTGGTGTACTTCAACGGAGAAAGAAAGTTAATTCATATTATCCAGTGAAAGCCAATCTGGAACTCCTCGATATGTTCTTCCAACATTTTCTTGGCTCCTTCTAAATCTCACCTTTAATTCAGTCTCGTATTCTTGTTGTTACTATCTATGACTAATTACAGCATCCATCTGATCAGTGAAAGGAAATATGATGATTTTTTCCTATATTTATAAATATAATTTTTAAGAAATAATTTGGGCAATCCTCGACATGGCTACATTATTAGATTGAGTCGTTTTCATGATCATCATGATTTCAAATTGGAATTTACTCCATCGAACTTTGTTGTAGCCACAAGATGAGGCTCAGAAACAGCAACGCTCAGCAGATATCTCGTGTGGTGTTTCACAACTCTGTTGCACGATCGATCAATTATTGCAAGCCTTCGTTTGTCATTATTTCTTAACTCGCGCTAAACACTATTATAGTCTTACTAAAACTTTGATTTTTATTTTTTACATGACGTTTTCGCAAACTCATAAACTGTTCCTTCAACCTCAGAAGATCAACAAAAAAATCTCTTTTTCTTTTGCTGCATCATTACTCGATTCATCGTAAGAAGCTTAGTCGAGTCGACAGATTTCTGGGGTTAGAATTGTAAGCTAAAATGGATCATAAACAGCAATTTACATGGTTTCATATTCATCATCTATTTGAATGACAACGTGTGATGCATCCAAAGTAGTTCGGCTTTCGACGCTTCAGATAGCAATGTCTTATGAGATTCTACAGCTTTTGCAGACTGGTCCAGACGATACAGGAAGAAAAAAAAAAGAGAAGAGTACAAGAAATTTGGAGGTGACTTGTTGGAATCCAAAGATTGGTACATGTTATGTTCCCAAAAGAATGCCTTTAGAACTTATATAAGGGCATCCTGAGTACTGTTTGAGGAACATATTAGTACAAGCAAAAAATTCTCTCTGAACGTGAATTTTCGTCGTCTACGATACCGATCAGCCATGCTGGTCGAGCTTGCATGCATGCATGCATAACAATAATGCAGCAAGAGGAGATATTGGGGCATGTTTGGTTACCTGCAGTTGAAGTTAGCAGGCCGCTGGGGTCACATGTTGGAGGCATTTACTTCATGACCTATTAACATTCAGTATGTCAGATGATTGCACTATAAACAATGTCAAACAATTGAAACGGATCAGCACAAGCTTCAGTATCATTGATCAGACATGTCGGACTAACATTAGCTTATAAGAGATAAATTCATATGTAACAGCTATGAAATGACAAGAGATTTAATGATAGCACTAATTTATTGATCTCAGATCCATGAAGGTTTCATGTCTTGGGGTGTCAATGCCATTTGAGTAATCCCAGGTTGAATCGAAGGTCAAGAATGTTTGTTTGTGTCAGTTGAGCAACATGCATTTCTTCAGGATTTTAGCAGCTTGTGCAAATTGTTATGAATTACTTTTGATGAAGATGAGTTAGCAGCTTACATACTGAAGGTAAAGGAAAAAAAAAACCAGAAAGTATGACGTCAAAATCCAGCAGATGTGATCCAAAAATAGAACGCTTCATTCTCACAAGGGAAAAAGAATGCCTAAATAGCCAGATCTTTGGCCACTTCTAGGAGACTAAGATGTTCATGTTGAAATTTATAATTAGAAATCGGACTATTTGATCAACAAGCACATTGAAATTGTCAGATAATTAGCTCACTGAAACAGAGGGTACCTTGATCCATAATATTCTTTTAATAAAAAATGGTCATCTTGAAACTAGCTTTCTCCTGCATAATCTACAGCTTTCTGGTTGATTTCCTCCGCATTATATGAATATGGATGATGTAGCACCATATTAAGCCTGCAACAAGTGCTCTGAAATAAATGACAGGGTATAAATCTACTGCTCGATGTACACATACCTCAACTATTTCCATGAAGCTGCTGCTTAATGATATGGTATGAGACTTTCATGTGATACTTCCTAAATATATTGGTAAGGTTGCTATTGACTCTTCCCAGGCCCCTCATTGGTGGGAGCCCGTCTACTGGGTTTGTCCTTTACTTTTCTATGAGACTTCCTTCTTAGCTGTCTGATGTTGCCATCCATCCTTGCGGTAAAACCAATCATAATCTTCTGCCTTGCTTTAGACTTCCCTCTCTTCCACATATGCTGGCCCTCCACATCCTTCTTGTAGTATTTGATTTCTTGGATCACATGGTTGACCAGTGGATTGAAGGCCCTCTGGAAGGTCATGTGGACCAGATATTAAGCATTGCAGATTGCAACAACCAAAAATGTTACAGCCCAATAAATGAGTGCTGGTCCAAGGACTTCCAGTTACTAGTAACTGCTAGTCTTTCTTGGAGATTGTTGGTGAAGACATTCCTCAGCCAATGAAGAAGAGATACAATTTGGCGATACTGCCCCACACAAAGAGATGCTGAATCCATGTAAAATGCAAGTGAACATGGAGGTTCCAGCAGCAATCAAATCCGCAGTCTGGCTGCCTATGCGGAATGCCCTATTGTAGAAAATCCTGATGTTGACAAAATATATGACAATGGATGCACAAAGACCATTGAACACCCAACTGATGATCCTGTACCAACCAGTAAACAGATTCCTTGGCCCTTCCTGGGAGCTGCAGATGAAGTGGCTGTTATTGTATCAGACATAACCAAGAGCACAATTGCTGTACAAAGCAAATCGATCATTAAATAAAGACATTAAACATGTCCACATTTGGTTCATAGTAATCAGAAAGAACAAAGAAAAAAAATCTGAGCCATGTCAACAGACAGTAAAATGTTACAAGCATGAGGGAAAACATGAAAGAAGTTTAACATGCATACCTGCAAGCATACTTCAGGAGAAACATCCTGCTCGAAGACTCCCATTGCCATGTCAACCGACAACTATGCTAGAACGATGTTAATAGGAGAATGTGCTAGTCATCATATGCCGACTGCCCTGAGAAGCCAGCATATGCCTCAAAGTAGAATGTTGTCAGCTCAAATGCTTTTTCATAAAAAAAAGTAGCAAATCTAAAAATGATCCAAAATATCTAGATAGAAAAAAGGGTAGAACATCATAACTGCAAAAGCACATGTTGATTATTCCTTAGTTCTCACCATAAGTGCTATCCTCTTATAGCACCAGTGGACCTGTACAACAATAAGTTGTTCAAGGAATCTGAATTGGGGGAAATGGAGAAATCACTAGCCATCCAGGCCAAGCTAAGTATGGCCCTAACATCTCAAAAATGTTGGAACTTGAGTAATACTCGAGTTTCCACAAGCATCCAACTTTGTCACTCTCAGACAATGGTTAAACATATTTGTTTCATACCTTGCTAAGTAAACTGCAAGCACATCTGGAAAGAAAATGGTGCTCTATACAACATTCATGTGTAATCATAATCGATATTCCACACATCAGTAATGATACATTATGAGTTATGTGAAAGACCAAAGAGGCATACCCTGTATTGACTGCTAATATCTGCAAGCCTGCTTCCCCATATTCATTTAGATGCTTGCTTGTGCCACTCTCATACGATCATCCACATTTTTGACAGTCTACCAAAGATGACAATACTCAAGAAAAAAATAGGCTGAAGCATTTAAGATGCAAAATAATTAAATCCATATTCAATCCACTTACATTAAATGATTTGAGAACATCAATAAGTGTGTTTCATTGCATGATACAGATGCATCAACAATCAAAACAGTATCACCCGGACTGGGTTAGTCAGACATACCTGTCATCACCATTGCAAAGAAGAATAACCTGCTCACTCTCATCATGCACGATTACAGAATTCTCTTCCTTTAGCTGTCGAATGCCAATAGATTGAGAATCTTGAATTCCCCGTAACGCACGAAATGATTAAGACACCAGGAGTCTACAACAGAGATAAATGATAACTTACTGACTTCAATATATAGATTGAGTTATGACCTCTCCACAGTGTCCGCAGAAGAAAAATACTTCTGCCTAATGTATATGCCAGATTGGGCCCTCTTACAGATTTCCTGGCTGCGACAAGAAATGCTCCTTCATCTGGTGACTGCTTCACTGGCGAAACCACCTGTTTCCTCGTTTAGATCAGGAATTGGTGTGTGACACAAAGCGAGTATCCTGAAGAACATAAGAATGGTACTAAGAGTGGAGACTTTTGTCCAGTTTCCATGCATTAGGTGGTCGTAGAAGGCTTTCGTCACTTGTCGGCCATGCAAGTAAGTAAATCCCATTTTCCGACTCAGTTGCCGATGATCCATAAGCACCCACATTATCCGCCTAAAGGTGTGGAGTGCCGTTTTGCTGCTCAGGAGCACCGGAAGCTTCTGATTCCATCTGCTGGCGGCAGCGATTTCCACTTCACTGGCATGTACGCCATATTAAAAACACGGAAGCATTAGGGATTCGTTTCTCCCCAATGCTAACTCAGATTCAGTAACCAGGGACAAAGAGAACAAAGAGCAAAATTTGCCGCTGGAACCGCAAATTTCAACGCAGGGAAGTAAATGGAACACAAAATCGATGACGGCATTGTTAAGTGATCGGCAAATTAGACGAAGAACTCGCGCTAGGATATCTTCGCCCATGTCCTACAACCATTCAAAATCCGAAAAAAAGGAGACAATCCGCCAAAAAAAAAAAGAGAGCAGATCAAGAAAGAGGGAGCCAAGAACAAACGTTCAGCTCGAGGAAAAAGTAAATCATACAAAAATAAAAGATTAGACGCACCTCAAAATCGATGCCTAAGCCCACTCCAAAATGGCATCTTTACAGAGACTGCACCGTCCGATCGTCTCGGAGATTGCAGGAGAGGAGACGGGAGTGACATCATAAGCCCTTCAAAACGAGATCAACGGAAACTAATCACGCAACCGTGACCTGGAGCGCAAGAGGCTTGCCCGACACGCTTGCAGTACGAGCCACTTGCCCACCGAGAAGCAACGATACGGGTGCCGCACAGAGCGGGCACCACGATTCATCGAATCAACACGAGGGTAGTTTTGGCACGAACGAGCGCAATGAGTGCGTCTTCTTCCGGATGATATCACGCGCCGAAGCGACGTGAACGGCTCCCATTCACATCGTTGCTCTGATGCCATTCAAGAGCCGCGCCTACAGCGACGAGATGCGACGGCTATCGTATTGCATCTCCTTCTTCGTGATCTCGCATGCGGCACCCATCCCGACGGATAGAGGGGTGGGGACGGTCCCGCACCGGATGCCTCTCTCCTGCCCGCCGTCGCTCATGCGAGGCTCACCCCGAACGCGGGGACGTCGGCGAATGTAGAGGGCGCCTACGCCCCTAGGGCCGTAGATTCTGTGCCCGCTAAGCGACATGAGCCCGATCCCCATCTTCTCGACATCGATGGGGATTTTCCCAAGGGCTTGGGCGGCGTCGGCGTGGAAGACAACGGCCTTCTCGTGGCAGATGCGATCGATCTCCTCCAGGGGATGGACGACGCCAATCTCATTGTTGACGGCCATGACAGAGACGAGGGCGGTGTCGGGACGGATGGCGGCGGCTAGTTGGTCGAGCTCGACGAGGCCTTAATGGGTTTAAAATTGAAACAAAATATTACTGATATCGACATTAAAAGCAAAATACTTGACGAATTAACTGATGAAATTTGCACGATGAAGATAGCATAAAATCTATTGTTGTTTATTTCTATGGTCAATTTAATTTTGTGATTAGAGATCAATACAAGAAACTTTGACATTTGTACTCGCTATGATTGTCAGATTTGGATACTCTTTGTCTTCTTCAGTAAGTAGCAGAGAAGTTGACTTGCACCAGAGACCAATTTATTGTCCATAACTCTCTTGAAGTACAGTGCAGCGCATCAAGCTTATTCCTGTCACTTTCTACCGAGTCTTGGTGTACTGGTCCCTTGACTTGGAGTCAACTCCAGTGTCCTCCATGTCATGCAACCTTGGAAGTTACCCTTGGCCTCCGGCCATGCTCATCAAGTCCGAGGTAGAGTGCAACTTAACAAGCTTGTTTCCTTGTCACCTTCTATCTACTTTTTGTTGTTCTCTAGACTTGTGGTCGAGTTCCATTGCTATCCATTGTCACAAGCCATCCAACTTTGGAAGTCACCTGTGACCTCAGGAATAGTATGAGGTCGTCATGCTCATCAAGTCGGCAGTGGTGTGCAGCTTATCATGCTTATTCCTGTCACCTTCTGTGAATTGGTCACTGTACTGTTTCTTGATCAAGAGTCTTCCATGAATACTCACGTCATGCAACTTTGGAACCCAAGCTTGACTTGACGGGATTCTACTATTATGAACATGAAGTCTTTATCAAGGTAGATAAATGTCATCATCTCAAGATTTGCATCTTCTTCCAAGCAGTTAAAATGGGCGCATGCAGTAAACGTATTTATGGTCAATAGTTATCGGAAACTTATGTCTGCCACTTCTGAAGTTTCCTCTCGATAGAGTATATTATTGCCCACTAAGACAATAGACCTCGACATGCGCATAAGACCATCAATGCTAAGTGCTCTTCAAGACATATATTATACGATTCATAGAGCTGAACGAGGCATGTTTTGCGCCGTTGTTTCTTCTTCTTCCTGCAATATTTAACGCATTAAAACTCCCTATGAAGTGAAGACCTGCATCTCGGGGTAGATTTCAAGCTACACTTTTGAAAAGATATATATTATATACTCTCTCTCTCTCTCTCTCTCTCTCTGATGCCATACGAAGAAGGTCGAGAAGAATGACCAGGCTTCACTGTGATGAATAATTACACGTTAGGACTGCTTGCACTACAATATATATGGAGATGGATGGCTAAGTAATATGTATGTATAAGAGCTGCCAAACCTTTTCTTTGTATCAATAGTTTGCTTATCGAGCTGTGCCTACTCACCTCATTAGTATTTTTGAGCCATCTTGTCGTCTTCTATTAAGCTGATGAAGCAGACGAAGTATTGCCAGTTGACCCCAATCATAAAATTTCCCTTTGGAGGTGCTTCTTCTCTTCTTAAAGCATTATGCTGTGAAGGTTCAATAGAAAATCTCAGAAACATTGTGTGGACCATCTGAGTGTAATCTGCAAACAATTAAATATGTGAACTCCTCATGCGTTCTCCGATCTATGAGAGGCCAAGACAACTACTGAAACAAGCAGACAACAAATGGTACATGTTCATGACCCAAAACTAGGGGAGTAATCAGTAGGATGAACTCCCTGTGGGTTGATATATTTTAATACAAATAAAATATATTTTAAATAATAATAATAATAATAATAATAAAGGTCAGAATTCAATTTAATGGGTTTTTATGGTTGATAGTGAATCAAGTATATACAGCCTCATCCACGCGTGGTCAATCCTCAACGTTTGACTCGTTACATTGGAAGTACATTATAAGCCTCTCCGACAAGAGATACGGATAATGAACCGGAATACCGAGTCCTCCATGTCATGGCAAAACCTGAACCGGCCACAGGACTAATTGACTTCATCCGAGGGCCAGTGGGACATCAAAATTCGTGCTTGCTAAAGAGCAAATACTTTTCCCCCGAAGAAGGGTCGTCGTCGTGCCGACTTGATCGCTCACAAAAGTCAAAAAAGACATACGCGCACGGGAAGCAAGAAGGGCATCTATTTCTGCTTTCTTCCCTCTTCTCGCTTCCGCTCTCGGTTGGCGTCTCTGTTAAGACCCGAATCCCGCATCTCTTGCTACCCCTATCGTGTCCATCTTCACGTAGATCGCCCTTTTTTGGTGTAGGCTGTATCGGAAGAATATACCGGCACACCGTTCAACGGAAAGCGGTATAAGGGGTGGACATGGAGTACAGCCACCTCACGGCCGTCACCGCGTTGTCCGACTCCGACAACTGCAGCAGCGTCCACTTCTCCGGCGAGGCCGCTGGGGCGCCTGACTCGGCCGCGCCCGCCGCCGAGGTCGAGGCCCTCCGTCGCCTCTCCGACAACCTCGGCTCCGCCTTCCAGTCACCGGACTTCGAGTTCCTTGCCGACGCCCGCATCGCCGTTGGGCACACTGGGGACGGCCGGGCGCCGCCGCTCGAGGTCGGAGTCCACCGCTGCGTGCTCTCCGCCCGGAGCCCCTTCTTCCGCGAGGTGTTCGCGAAGCGGGGGAAGGGAGCGGCGATGCCGGTGAGGGTGGAGCTGAAGGAGCTGGTGAGGGAGTTCGAGGTCGGGTACGACGCCTTGGTGGCGGTGCTGGGGTACCTCTACACCGGGAGGGTGGCGCCGCTTCCGAGGGCGGTGTGCATGTGCGTCGACGAGGTGTGCCCGCACGAGGCGTGCCGACCTGCAGTCGATTTCATGGCCGAAGTGCTCTACGCCTCCTTCAGCTTCCAAATCTCCGAGCTGGTCAGTCTCTTCCAGGTGAGTTGATGGTGTGCTTGGATCTCGATCTGTTTTACCCTCGTTCTGTTCTTTCTCCAACCTCTTCAGCTTTTGTGTGGGCATATGAGCATAAACTACAACTGAGAAGATGGATCCTGCTACTAACCAAGTGATCTTTAAGCTTATATACAACCGATTTAGATCTTTCTACTAGCTATATAATGTTTTAAGGTCTTATGTTAAATCATCTCTTTGTACCTGTCTTCTCATTTCTTTAAAGGATTGCTTCTTAGTTGTATGAGCACTAACTAAATCTAGTAAGATAGATCAGCCACATAGCCTTTGCTTTTCTGTATAATAGTAATACCTTAGGTAGATCTTTCACCTTCCAATCTGTTCTAGTTTTATTTCAATATGAATTTAGGAACCTTTTTGAAAGGATTGAAAGTTATTGTTGTTTTTATCGTAGTAGCAAGTCTTCATTTGGACTCAAAAGATGTAGTTGCTGTTAGGCCACACCATAGTATTATTATAGGTTACAAAGTCAGCTTAGGAAACTAGAATGAGCTTGCCCATGTAAAAAAATGGGTGAAGGGACGAAGGGAACCAGAAACAAGAACCAGGGAAATTTTATAATGAATGTAGTATCAAATCTATGGAAGAATTTAGTTTGAGAATCCATCATAAATAATCTGAGGTCTTGTATTGGGCTCACTGAAACAGCTAATTGGGGGGACAGCAACCTTTAAGATTTCTTATATTCTGGGATGAAGAGAACTTCATACATGGCAGCTGAAAGTAAAAGTAGGATGTTGTCTTTAATATTTGCTTACCATTAACAGTGAAGCTGGAAATATTACTGTCCAGCGTATGGGGCTTTGATACATGTGGGTACCGAAGAGGGTCAATGTACAATACGTAAGTTTGCCCCCACAAGCAGATAGTCAAGAAAGGGGAAACACATTCGTATTTTTTTTGAAACATATATAATTGTGTAACATGCGAAGGCTCCTTTGTTTGGCATCTTCTAGTTTACTTATGCCTTCATATAATTACCTTTTCAGAGGCAAACATGATTTTTATGTCATTGTTGTACATCTTTTTGGGTCGGTTTTTTTTGTACATCATCAAATAAGAGGAACTATTGTTATAGAGTTGAAATAGTGTTTATCTTGATAAGAGAAATTTTCATAATCAGTTGGTTATTCATCAATACCACATTTCCAGGATTTGCAAAGCATGTTTTCGGGCCTCCTCATGTGGTCTTAACCACATTTTTCTTGATATATTTCATAACAATAGTTGACTTTGTTTATATTCTTTCCTTTTTCTCTTATTGTCATTCATAGGTCTGTATGCTTTTTGTTATGATTTCCTTGAAATAATGGATAAACACCAATTGTTTCTTTGCAGCGACACCTCCTTGATATTTTGGACAAGGTGGCAGCCGATGACATACCAATGGTTCTATCTGTAGCTAAATTGTGTGACAAGTCATGTGCCAGTTTGCTCAACAAGTGCATTGAGATCGTCGTCAGGTCAGACCTCGATGTTATTACCCTTGAGAAGACAATGCCTCCTGATATTGTCAAGCACATTATGGATTCACGCTTGAACTTGGGGCTAGTAGGACCTGAAGGCAGCAGCTTCCCTGATAAACATGTTAGAAGAATACATGGAGCTCTCGATTGTGATGATGTTGAATTAGTAAGAATGCTGTTAAAGGAGGGGAATACAACCCTAGACGATGCATGTGCATTGCATTATGCAGTAGCATATTGTGATTCAAAAATTACAACAGAACTATTAGATCTTGCACTCGCAGATGTTAACCACCGAAACCTTAGAGGTTATACTGTGCTTCACATAGCTGCAATGTGTAAAGAACCTAAGATTATTGTATCACTTCTAACAAAGGGAGCTAGACCATCTGATCTTACAGTGGACGGAAGGAAAGCACTTCAGATATCAAAGAGACTTACCAATTCCATGGAGTACCTCAGGTCAACTGAAGAAGGAGAAGCATCGCCCAAGAGTCGTTTGTGCATTGAGATATTAGAGCAAGCTGAAAGAAGTGATCCACAAGTAGGCGAAGCTTCTGTATCCCTTGCAATAGCTGGAGATGACTTGCGGGGTAGATTGTTATACCTTGAGAATCGAGGTGATTCCATTTGGCTCCTAGCTAATCCTTTTTCACTTTGACAAAATTGCACATCTTTTCTGCGGTATTGTGGTAGATTGATCATCTATGATCGATTGTTATTTTTTTTATATTTGCAAATTTATCTTGTGTGGTCTTCTGGTAACTTCTAAATGGCTAATACAATTTTTTTATATTTCAACTGATTTTCTCGAAAGTTTTCAAGAAATTCTAAAGCCTGAAAATGTTGAGTTTGAAAGATTTTTAGTATGTTGAATAGTGATATAAATCCTAACTACTTCATAAAGCATAACTCATGACCCTACACGAAGTAGCATACAAAAATTTTAGTCTTTGTTACTTTTATATGTATTATATTTGTAATATCTTTTGTGTTCTGCATTACTGTGCAGTTGCTTTGGCAAGACTATTGTTCCCCATGGAGGCAAGAGTTGCGATGGACATCGCTCAAGTTGATGGCACACTGGAATTTACCTTAGGGTCTGCTGCCAACCATTCTACTGGAAATCGAAGGACTGCAATGGACCTAAATGAAGCGCCGTTCAAGATCAAGGAAGAGCATCTAGCACGCATGAGAGCACTTTCTAGAACAGGTACTTCTTTAAGCATTTTATTCCCTGTTCAATGCCCTTTAATGCTCGATAATCAGGGCAAAAAATGTATTTGTAATATGATATTATTATAGTCCATAAAAGAGAGAATTTTTTCACTCTGTATGCATAGTTAATCTGGTAGAGGAGCTGAAACATATAGATGCAGAGTGAATCCTAACTGCTAAATGAAGTTTTTTAGACATGTTCTGTGACAATTTTCATGAGAAAGAGAGCTTGTTGTAATCTTTGAAAAAGTTAAGCTATCATTTTAGTTTAATGATTCCTCTGTCCTCTGCCAGAGTTACTTACCTCATTATAATTATTTGAAAGATGTGTATTCAATTTGGATCAACACTGGTCTTTCAGTTTATAAAACATAATCAATAACCGAGGTCAAACACCTGATCACTACCTCCACAAGGATTCAAGGAACATACAAATGACATGGTTGTGGTTACTTTTATGAGCTCAGTTTAGCCAACTGCTCTATTGATAAGCTATTTGCAGTTCGTTATGTTTCATTGTATGCAAGTCATTTCCTGGAATCCAACTACCCTTTAACATTCAGCTGATAAAAGTTAATTTTGGCACTTTGACAGTGGAACTTGGGAAGCGTTTTTTTCCTCGATGCTCAGAGGTTATCAATAAAATCATGGATGATGATATAACCGAGATCACTGGTTTCGGACACAACAGTTCAGAAGAGAAAAGGAGGAGATTTTTGGAATTGCAAGATGTCCTGTCGAAAGCATTCAGCGAGGACAAGGAGGAATTCGACAGGTCTTCCTTATCTTCCTCGTCATCATCGACGTCTGTAGGGGTTATTCGTACCAGAAGATGATTGAGATGATAATCACCTAATTAATTTTGTATCTTGTACAAACTATTAGGTTTCTGTGTCAGCTCTTCGATCTCATGGTGGCACGATACACCACTTGATCATGTCGTAACATGTAATATTGGTGATGTATAGTTCTTTGCAGATGCTAGACATTCTATTTTTGTCTTATTTATAAAAGGTATTATCACAGTTGACTTTGGCTGATCAATTTAAAAGAGCTTGTCGGTGTTTACAGTATAGTTGCAGCTTAGATGGGCAATGGTGTTTCAGTATTTGCATATTAGCAGCTTAGATAGGCAATGGTGTTTCAGTATTTATATGTAGTAGCAGCTTAGATAGACAATGGTGTTTCAGTATTTGCATCTGTGGCTTTCATGTATTGCTTCTTAAGTTCCATGCAAGTTTTTATAGCCCTTGGCAAGAACAGGACTAAAATGACATGTTTTTGGGGAATTCATGTTTTCTATGTACTTAATTGCTGAGAAATTGCCAATCCGTCTTTAGTTCCATGGGATGCATTCTACATTGACTTTAACAGAGAACAGAGTTGGATGCAGTGAAGAACAAGTCTAACAAGTCTTGATTCCATTATCATCAGCTACATATGTTTTGGATTTGCAACAGTATTCCATAAAGCCTTTGTACACAGCCACCATTACACGCAAGTGATGCATTGGCTTTCCAGTCTCAAGGTTTTGATTTCATGTAACCCATCTGCTTCACCAAATCCTTCATGTCCTCACCCCACTCGAGTTGCTCTGCGGCCAATGCCTCGACCTCGACTTCCACCTCAGATTGCTCATCGTCCTCTGTCTCGCCCCCCATAAGTTTGCTTTCGTTCAGTAGTTCTTCCCATGTCAAATCGTTGGTGACGGACGCGCCCTGCTCGACTGTCGATTCATCCCTCTGGCCAATGTCGCTCGAGCTGCCTTCGTCGTCGTCCATTGTAGACAGCAACAGGTCCTCTATCGCCGGGAGGTCCTCCGAGCTCGGAGTCGCTGGCAATCTCCTCTTCTTGCCCGCGCTGTTGAGCTGCCTCTGCTGCTCGCCACGCAGCGCTAGCTGCCGGACGAAGGCGGGGTTCCTGAGCGCTCGCCCCAAGAAGGACATCGTCTGCTGTTGCCTCCTCTCGGTGACCTGCATCCGCCGCTGCATCTCGAGGAGCTGCGCTCGGGAGCTCTGCTGCCGTTGCCGCAGTTTCACGATCTCCAGCATCAGCACGTTGCGGTCCCTTCTCATCCTGTCCACCTCGGTCTCCAGCCCAAACATGCCCGATTGGTCCCTAGCATCGTCACAGTGGTGCTGGTGCGGGCTCTGGGGAACATTGCGCCGCCGCTTGATGTTCTTCAAGAGGTGCTTCTGCCCGGCCAAGAAGTCCGCGTTTGCGAACTCCCATCTGTTCGGATCGACCTTCCTAAAACCCTGCATCCACCACCACCATGAACACTTCGCTAAGTGACGATGAAGATTTTAAGCTCAATTTGTCGAGTCTCGATTTCAACCAAAATTTCCTTTTCCTGACGACTATTTCCATCAAGACACGATCTTTACCCAAATCTTGGCTTGGTCCGCGACACTTGGGAATCAATTACACATAGAGACAGAACACAGATACTTACATAGGTATTGAGCTGTCGAATGAAGCTGGAGAAGTTGCTGTGCTTGAAGTATTTGGGCAAGAGGGCGGTGGCGAACCGGTGGGAGTCCCAGACGATGAAGCTGTTCCGGGCGCCACTCCACGACACCACCGCGTCCGTCTCGGCGTCCTCTACCATCTCGAACGTCTTCGTCAGGAACGGCGGGGGGCCGACCTCATGGAGCCCCTCCATTGGCTGCGGCGCCGCCATAACCTCCTCTTCCTCCTCCTCCCCTTCCTCCTCCTTCACCACCGCCGCCGCGTTCTCCATGGTTCGCCAAATTGGTGGATCAGAACTCAGCGCCAAGAATTGGGCTGCCGTCGGTTGGTGTGCCTTGCTCCTCCGCTTCCTCCTCGCGAGCGAGGAGCGAGAGTGAGGAAAGGGCGGGGGTTACTTAAGGAAGGAGGATGGAAGTTTCTGGAACGGGTGACTAGGGCGGTGCTTCGGCAGGTCGAAAACTCACCCGTCCGGGCCAGCGCAGCGAACACGCTCCTCATGCGCCACGTCGACCAAAAGAGGTCCGTGTTCCGTGTCGCGGCCGGGTGGGGGCCACGAAGACGACACCCGTCTCCCATCGATGCGCTGCTTCCAGAAGCCTCGGCAGCCCCGAACACCGCCGGAAGCACTTCGGTCATCTCAGCCGTCCATTCCATCGAGCCGACGCATCGTACGGCTGCGACAGGGCGTAGTGGCTGGGGCCAACGCGTCGAGTAACGGGTTCGGATGACGTGCGTGGTTGGCATCGGGGCCAACGCGTCGAGTAACGGGTTCGGATGACGACGCGTGTCCAGAACATGTGGGACCTCTACCTGTGCTCTGTGGATGTCGAGTAGATATGCGACGGATACATCTAATCTTCGTCGCATCAAATCAATCCAAGGAATGTAATTGGAGATTGTGACTACAGAGGCAGTGAGCTGCACACTTGGAATTAAAAATGCATTGTATCCAAATCTTATCTGGATGCGTAGTCATACGTGATCTGGAAAGTCCGGAAGATTCTCTAAACCCTCAGAAACAACTCCAGAAAGCTCTAGAACCTTCAAATACCATGTTTCTAGGTTTTCATCTTAACTAGAGTTGTAGTTTCTCCATTAATCTCTCCTCAAATTAATATAAAGAATACATTTGCCAGTCATTAAACAAACACTATCAGTCATGTAGTTATTATTATTATTATTATTATTATTATTATTATTATTATTATTATTTAAATACGAGGAAACTTGAAAAATAAAAGAAAAAGAGCAAAAGACTTGATGCAATTGTAACATATACGAAATAACCATGAGCCCAGGTGACATGAAGTTGTGATGTTTTGTCCCTTGGCTCTATTTACATGCATAGAATATGAAATATATATTACTTTTGTGATGCTTTTAAATGTATTTTCATTTGAAGATAATTGTGAATCAATGGTTTCTAGTGATGTTAATTGGATTTTGCTGAGTAGAATTGTCGATAAATAATAAAAGCTAAGATCCAAGTAATTTTTAATATTTTTTTATTTCTTTATTAACAGAAACTAATTTTAAAATGGTGATGATATAATTAATTTTGTAACTTTTTATGGTTTGAAAGAATTCATATTCAATCATTCAAAAAGGTTTGGGCTTTGAGAGTGAGATTGGGCCCCATCCGCTGTAGAATCCAATTGTAGGTGGGCTGGATTTAGTCACTTTAAGATACCTGATAGAGAGGAAGAACTCTGTTTTCATCCAATAGATTTCTGTTTGGTTGGGGGAAAAAATAGGTTCTTGCTATGGTGAAATCTCCACGATAGTCGCTTGTGCTTGTATGATGCTTACATACTTTGTTCTGGTGAAATATCTGCATTTTCTTCTCTTGGTTAATGTCCACCGTATCTGCATTAGAAAAATGTATCTTTGTAGGGAGGAGGATTTGTTAGAATTAAGCGATGAAATTTTGTGGTGTTGTTCGAAAGTTGAAAGAGACTTTTGTTTTATGTTGGGATAGAAATCTCGATAAATACTCGATTTTATTGTGAACTTCTCTGTTTTTTTTTATTGAAAATTTTGTTGGTATTTTAATTATAATTTATTTGATCTGGGTTTATGTGCTAACAGCATTGTCATCGCAGTTTGTAGCAGGCGGTGACAGTCTGCTCGCACAGCCTTTAGAACATGCTGGTAAATTTCCTGCCACTTTTCAGGCAGAAGAGATGATGATCGTCCTGTCACTCTGCTACAGGCCTTTTTAATTTCAAATCTGCAAATCTCATGCTTTTGCATCTCTGAGAGCTTGAAATCATTAGATGGTAAATGAGAACCGATGATCTGAAGAATCTACTCCCGGTTGGTGCTGTTTACCAGACGCATGATTGTTTAATCCCATGTCTTCCATCAGATTCTGATCCGTACGCACTGATGTGTTCTATCATCTAAGGAGGACCGGAGACAAGGCTATGAAGACTCTGGTGGCTGCTCTGGGTGCTTTATGGTTTAATGATGAGCCACAACCCAATGCTTGGGGAAACCCCACAGCATTAAAGATCCAATACTTTGCATCCAGGCGACGTTTCAAAGCAGGAAGCAGCATCCCGGGAAAACAGGAATTGGATCAGGATGAGCAGTACACCATGTTCTTGTTATTGCTTGGTTTTGAGGATGGTCACATGTGCACAATCCTGTCCTCATGCTTTGATGAGGAGGAGGAGAAGCTGTCCTTTACTTTACTGCTGTACGAATGCATGATTTGTTTAAGAAACAATGTTTTCTATTGAGGTAATATATACCATCATCTCCAGGAAACAGCACGCTGGAAAACAGGAACTATGTTCTTCTTATTGCATGGTCTGAGAGTGTTGTCACGTGTGAATGAGATCCATCTTTAAAGAAGAGAGAGAGTGGGGATGTACAGTAGTCACCTGTTCGCATTGCTGTGGATCTTGTTTCAAATCATGAGCGAAATCTCACCCTTTTTCCAGGTTTGGATACCAGTCATGGTGTGACTGAGCTGCAGACCTGATGAACTGTGGCCCTTTCAGGCCTTTGCCTCCTCCCGAAAGTGGAGATTTGAAAGATCATTTCATTTCTCCCCAAAAAGACACGGGTAAGACCAAGAACGACAAGAGGGCGCGCGCTTACTCCATGTCACGAGGGTGACAACAAAGAAAGCAACAAGCTTTGGGTGCAGTGTCCTTGTTAGCTTCCCCAAGTTAAGGAGCCTTTAACAGTAGCAATGGGATTTCATGGTTTAGGATAATGCTCTGTCTTCACGCACAGTTGCACTTGATCTGCATCTCTCTCCCTCTCTTTTGAATTTGAAAGTTGCGAGACACCAAACAAACCGCTGGATTGACTGTCCCCAGCAGCCCACAGTGGTTCAGCTCATTGAATCCTTTTCCATCCTACACCAGGCCTCACCAAACTGTACAACATCATCTCTTTCCCCGAAGCTGAGATTCTTACACCGAAGAGGGCTTGTCTCAAGACATGGGCGGCTCAGGGAAGTGGTTGAAATCCTTCATAGGACTCAAGAAACAAGAGAAGGATGACAATGTGATTACTCCGACCCATTCGTTTCCCTTTGTTGCTTGGTGCTGTTCTTTTCTTGGTTTTGATTTGCTAAAGCTGGCCTTTTTTGTTGTGTGTGTGTGTGTGCTTGAAGGAAAAGAGTGGTGGCAGTGATAATGGCAAGAGCAGGAAGTGGAAGAAGCTGTGGAGGAGCTCCTCAGGGGAGCACCTATCTCTGTGGAGGAGCTCCAAGGGCGGCAGCCACCGGTCGGTGGCGTCGGAGGCGTCCGATGTCTCATCACTGGCCGACGCGTTCACCGCAGCGGTGGCGACGGTGGTTCGTGCGCCGCCCAAGGATTTCAAGGTGGTCAGCCAAGAGTGGGCTGCTATCCGGATTCAGACTGCCTTCCGCGCCTTCCTGGTAACATAAAGATCGTTCTTTTTTCGTGCTATTTTGAGGTTGCAAGCCTTCAGATTTGAAGTAGATTCGACCGTGTTCATGCTGCGGAAGTGTAGGCCAGAAGAGCTCTGAAGGCATTGAAAGGAATAGTGAGGCTTCAGGCTATAGTCCGAGGCCGCCAGGTGAGGAAGCAGGCGGCGGTGACGCTGAGGTGCATGCAGGCGCTCGTCCGAGTACAAGCCCGCATACGAGCTCGTCGCGTACGCATGTCCACCGAGGGCCAAGCCGTGCAGAGAATGCTCGAAGCTCATCGAAGCAAACAGGACCTGCTGAAGGACGCCGAGGTATGCATGTTTCTTCAAAATCATATATGAAGTCATCTGCTACTCGGTAATTTCCAGTCTTCTTGTACCGATTATATCATCCATTTTAATATCTTTTCATCTGCTTTTGCTGCAATTTGATGCTCATTTAGGAAGGATGGTGTGACAGTCAGGGCACGTTGGAAAAGATAAGAACACGGTTGCAGATGAGGCAGGAGGGAGCTCTAAAGAGAGAGAGGGCCATTGCTTACGCCATGTCTCAGCAGGTCCACATGGTATGCATCACATGGTGATCTTTTTCTGAGTCTTAAGGTTACAGATGATTGCTCTGTCCTTGAACAGCATTTGCTTCTCCTTCCTTGGGCTAATTGAGGTTCTTTCTTTGCCTTATTTGGCAATTCAAGTTGACAGTGAAAGAAGGGCTAAATCAAACAAGCAGCTCCCTAAAGCTGTATGATTTGGACAAGAACAACGGGAACTGGAGCTGGTTAGAAAGATGGATGGCTGCCAAACCCTGGGAGAACAGGTTAATGGAAGAAAAGGCCCAGAATGATCATTCTCAGGCTCAATCCAAAAGCTGCGAAGACATGCATGGCATCTGTTCAGAACCTGGTTCTGTAAAGATAAAAAAGAACAATATGAGCACTAGGATTTCAGCCAAACCTCCGACCACACCCTTCAACCCATCCTGCAGAACTCAGTCGACTTCATCTCCACCCACTGAACTGCACTTCAATGAGAGTTCCGCATCATCTTCTTCGATCTGCACATCGACGCCGCTGCCCAGCTCCAATGTATCAGCAGCAGAGAACTCCGAGGGCAGCCACAGAAGCAGGCCAAGCTACATGAATTTGACTGAATCAATCAAGGCAAAGCAGAAAACTTGCAGCACACAAACAACAATTCAGCTTCAGAGGAAGGCTTTGTCTCACATCAACACAAGGAGCAACCTCTGCTCGAATCACTCAGCTTTTTCTTCCAAGATGGTGACTGCAAGGGACAAGAGAAGCATGGCCAAGGAGAACTACAGTTGTGATGAGCAACATAACTATGTGAATTAGCCCTTTTTTCCCCTTCTCTTTGGCACCTTGTCCTCTTACAGCATTTATGTCTGGTGTGCATGAGTTCTTTGTATCTGCTTTCAGGGTTCAACATCTTGTTGTGTTGTATGAGTCTGTTGAACAAATTCGTTTGTGTTCCTACCTCAGAGAGATCTATCTGCATTGCTTGCTTGCTACCATCATTTCCAATTTGTCTTTTTCCTTCACAGTTGTTGGCTGGGTAGGATCAAAATATGTAGTCTTGCCTCTTTATAACCTCTCAATATTTTACCAAGACCTGCCTGCTTCAGATTAGTTCTAATCCAAGATTTTTTTGAATTTATGACAAGCAGACAAGAGATCCTTGTAAGCATGCACAATCAAAAGCCTTCAGCCTTTAGCAAGAGATCTTTGCACATATTGTATGCCTCAAAACATGAGATGTATTAAATAAACCATCTGACACAGGAAAGGAATCAGAAAAGGAGAGATCCATCAGCCATCTAATGCATTTTCATGTGATATATTATAATATCTTCTAATCATCATAATTTCATCCCAGGGTTAGCACTTCCACTTGTGATTGCCAAAGTAAGGCATGAGAAATGTCCTTTCCAAGGGAGAAAGAATTCCTCTATTTGGTTAAGATTTCTGTGAAAGAGCTTCACAAATTTAGAACAATTACAACTCGCAGACTTTTCTGACCATCTTGCACTAAGCTGTTTGTTCTGATAAGACCAAATGGACAGTGTTACATTTGAAATCTTGATGGCACTGTTGGCTTTGACTTAGAAAAGATGAATGGATAACTCACTGGACTCGGTTATCAATCTGACTGATCCGATACTGCAGAGGGATGTCGATGGAAAGTAGCAATTCCTTCTTCTTTTTTTTCTCTCTCTTTAAATCTTTGAGCTGATTCTGATAATTGTGGGTGGATGATAACTTTAGGTTTAAAGATGACTGATGCTTAGCAAAGAAATGCAACTGAATGTGAGATGAGTTCCTTTGCCTTTATCCTCTACTCATTATTGAATGTGACTGTGACTTCCTGTTCTCAGCTCTTCCCATTTCCATGTTTAGAAACTGTGATGAGGAGGCTGATGAACACTACATCTGACATGACAGTCCATTATGGTATGTGCTGTTCCCACCAACTACGAATTAAATGACACCTCGTGCACAATGGATTTGCTGCTTACATCAACTCTTGCTAGTTCATGTTGCCCTCAACATATTCCATTTGGACACTTCCAGGAAGGAAGCAAATGGGCAATAAATGCTGTCTCTTTCTGAAGTATGTCTTCTTATGTTATTAGGGAACAAATAACAGTATGTAAGAATAAATAAAAAGAAAAATTCAAATGAGCACTTCAAATCCATGTGAACTAGACATATTTGTCTTATTTAGATCATAAAACTCAGATGAAAGCACATGCTACAGCAACACAATAGTGAATCAACAGGAAAGAAAATAAACATTTTTCTGTAACCAATGCTAAGAGAAATCTGAAATCTGTAACCAATGCTATCACAAACTCAATGTGAAATCTATAATTTTGCATTTTTAGTCATGCATTTCCTTAAGCCTATAAATTAAAGAGCAGAATTGACTCTATAAGAACATTTGAAGGATACAAAATGTGATCAAATTTTCCTGTGGAGCACAAAGCACTCCAAATTTGTCATGATGCTATTATTTTTTAGTATTATGTTCTGATCCCCTACCTAACTAATAGATCTTATAGCCAAAAATATTATTATTATTATTCAGTATTATATTTTGAACCCTTACCTAATACCTCTTTGGGAATCGACGAAAAAATCATTTATCATAATATTCTGTCATGATAATATTATGATAATTTGTTAAAGTCTTTATCAACTAAGATAATTAGTACTTTTAAAACATTAGTCAAAATATTATATTTTGAACCCTTACCTAATACCTCTTTGGGCATCGACGAAAAGGTCATTTATCATAATATTCTATCATGATAATATTATGATAATTTGTTAAAGTCTTTATCAACTAAGATAATTAGTACTTTTAAAACATTAGTCAAAAAATAATATAAAGGAAATAAATCTTGATGTCATGATAATATTCTGTCTCTGCGAGTCAATCGAATAAGATATAAGTAATAGAAGGAGAATAGTCTCTTTGTTGGAATGGGTAAGGTTGACAAGTGATTGTTTATGTTCTGGTGTGATTTTGATGATTAAATTTATAGCCGCAAAACTCATTGGATCTTTTTCAAGGACATCATTTTTTTGAAGTAAGAATTTCTACTTGAAGAAAAATACTTTTCCCTAATCAAATAATCAATGATATTGATCCTTTTGAGAAACCTTGTACACTGGATGATTTTTCTCTTAAGATTATAGTTAACCAATAATTAATCTTTAAAAAAAATACAATATCTACAATGTAGATAAATCTTGCTTAAATAAATAAATAAATATATATATAGTAGATGGATGCATAGAAAGATGTGTCTTGAAGTCAGCAGTCCGTTGCTTGGAGCTCATCTTCGAGATGGAGGCGAGGAGAGGGCTTCCTTCACTGATCTCTTCGCAGGAAGCGGAAGGCGAGAGGGAGAACATCGCCTCTGATATCACTCAGGTGCTGTTGTTGTCGCCCGTCTTCCACTTCCCTCTCCTCTCCGTCACCGTTTCTTGCTCTCCGACTCGTCTTCCTCTGTTCGGTTCTGGGCTTCACTGGGAGCTTTGAGCTCCTTTTGCTGCCCTTTTCCTGATTTTTAGATGCCTTTTGCTCTCCAAAGTTGGTTGCTTTATGTGAAGCACAAATTTGCACGCATGGGGTCCTCCAATAGGATTTTCATCAACAGAAAACAGAAAAGAGAGATTAATAATAGAAGATAAGAACAATTATTGTTATTGAAGAAGCTTTATTGAAGAGGTGAAAAATTGAAGAAGTGAAAAAGCTTTAGCTTGAATAGCTGTCCCTCTCCTCTCCTATTTATACAGATTAGGAGGAAAGATTTCCTTAACAGAATAGAAGATTTTTCTCTAGGGAAATCTTATCTTCTATCAAAATATACTTTTCTTGACTAATTACTTAAAGATCCTGGCATAATTACTTGTGGCCTTGGATAATATTTGTGAAAAAGAAGGTTATTTTCTTGACTTCAATTTTCTCCACCAAAAAGAAAAAAAGATGACACAATGAATCAGGTTGGACTTTGAGAAGTTTCCACTTTTCAGTTAATACAAGGGTGTATGCAATATGGCATTTCTGATATCGAGGTTGGTTTAAGAAAGAAAAGCTGCTTGCTTGGTGCCTCACAAGGGATAACTTTCTTCCTATCTGAAGTTAAATGTTGTAATAATATGTCTCAGATATTATCTACTGCAACTCCTAAAATGACTCATTTTGTGTTTGGACCGGATCAATATCTTGAACCTTGCAGTTTTAGTATTAAAGATGCCTTCCAGAATATTAAGTCTGAAGGTTCGTATCTGATTTGAGTTTTTTACATTACAACATTGACCAATTTTGGCAACTTTGGTTGCTTATGTCTACTTCATTTTTTATCAAAATAAACACATCCAGTAACACCGATGCATCTACCAACATTGTTAAAATTCCATGTGAGGTATGTTCTTTGTGAAGGCCTAGGCTCTCATGGATGTCTATTGTGTCACTATATTTTCTCTTGATTACTTGGTCATTTTCCACCTAGCTTCAGATGTTACAAATGCAATAGAATGGTGTTTAAACTATTGGTGATCATCATTGGAGTTGATTGATGTAACACCAGAAACCCACAACTGCCTGGGACGGATTAATCCAAGGCTCTTGCATTTGTATGGATAAACTCAAATTTATCCAATGACACAAAAGGTTCAGGGGAAGAAGGAAGAAAGAAGAAGAAATGGGGGAAAATTGGAGAACAAACTCTAAAATTCTTGAAGTTGAGTATAAGCAAACATCAAAATGACCACATAGTATATCTTTATATTGTATACATAACAGCATGCTGTATATCACATGCCCTAGAAATACACCCTAAAGTTTGAGAAGAAAGAAGAAAAGCACTATATCTTAGTAAATTTTTAAACCTTTTTTTTTTCAGATTGGTCTTTATACATGTAAATATATGTATTTTTTAGTTATTTTATTCTTCTTTACTTTCCAGTTTCTTTTGTGTTTCTGTGGCTGTGCTACCCCTTCTGTTTATATTATATTTGATAGACCCTGGTTCTAAAATCTAATATCAATCTTAAAGCCAAATCCATGATCTTCTTGAACTTGATATTCATTTTAAGGGGCTTTACTCATATTGTTTGGGACCCAAGTTATAGCAAATATGCCATCAGAGAATAAACTATTAGTGTCTGTGAGTCAGGCCGTCACCTACTATGTACTGATGATACTTGGACAATGACAGCAGGATGATGAGCTATGATGTTTTTGGAATTCTATGTTGCTACATCCTTCTACATTATTCTTTTATAGCAGTTGCAAATGTACAAATGATACTCTGACAAGAAATTATAGTCTGTTTATATGTCTTGAAGATGTGGAATCATTCAATATAGAGTATTTGTCTCTGTTGTGCACTTATAAGCTTATAACACATTTTACATGACACTGTACTTTGTGTGACATATATTCTACAGTTGATGGAGAGACCAAGGTTCGCAATACCGTACCGTACCAGTATTTCGACCTGGGCTCGGTACCGGTACGGTACGGTATACCGAGCGGTACACCTGGGTGTACCGAGTACAGTACACTGCTACAGTCTACAGTACCTCGGACCGGTAACAGTCGGTCCACGTACCGAAAACCTATCGGACCGGTACGTACCGCCCGTACCGGGCGGTATGGCTCGGTACGGCAGACCCCTGGGAGAGACTGTGTGGTTTTTCTGCTGATTTTTCTTATGTTCACGATAATTTACTGTTTTAATTCTCCAAATTCATATTGTTGTTATCATTAGCCAAAGAAACATTTAAATTATTCTATTCAAGCGTGTAAACTAAATCATGTTAGTAAATTTATTCAGCTTATAGGTTGGACGCCACTTATAGAATTGAAAATAATTGTGGAAAAAGAGGAAATAAATGTAAGATTGATTGCCAAGATGGAAGCATACCAACCCCTTTCCTCTGTGAAAGACCGAAGTGCTCTCAGGTTTGTCACTGGACAATCTGCTACATTTCCATGAGACAG